GAATCAAGTAAAAACTAAAATAATATTTACTAACTCTTCATAGTTACTCTTGGTATGCTCCTTTTTAGAAAAAAAATACTGAATATATGAAAAAGTGTTTACTCATTTTAGAATGTAGGAATACATATTTTACCCTCATAACCTTCAGTAAATCACTTTATTCCTCATTGTGTCCATTTCTCAGACACAAATGAGAAACTTATTGACTTGTAGAATCCTACATGGTGCCAAACTCCTAATTAAACAATCAATTGCCTTTAAGGACTGATTTCAAATCTAGAAGCAGCTATTATGCAGCAATATTTTATTTATGTGGATTTTATTTATGTGGATAATTTATTTGTGTGGATCAGTGTTTATCAAAATATACTTCTTCAAGCACCAGTGTTGTCAAATATTCTATGGGAAAAAGGGTTCTGTTATTAAATACTTTTGGGAAACATTGTTGAATTTATTCCTCTCTAAGTAGGAGATAATACCACTGTTAGTGCCACTGTAAGGGTTCTGGTAAGTCCTGCAGTTAAAACTCCATTTATCTTCCTTTAACCCAGTTTTTCCCAAAGGTATCTGACCTTAAAAACCTTTCTCCTCAAATAATACATATTAAAAATATGTTTTAAAAAAAACTATTTAAAAAACCCAACAGAATAATCTTTGTAAAATTGTGTCCTAGATAATACTTGTATAGAAGTTCTTAGGGTTTTACACAGCTGACTATTATAAAACATCTGTATTGTCCTAGAACTCCTATAATGCAGTTGGTTGTATCAGCAGTACTTCTTAGCTTTGGCTATATGTTCAGTGATAGGAGGTTTCACAGTATTTTATGTGCCCTTGATCCCTGTTTTTAGCCCTAAAATCACTTCAAGGGACATTTTTTCTTACAGAAAAACAAACATCCTGGAAATGCATGATTAGTGAATCTTGAGTCATTCTAGACTACACCACAGTTTTATTTCCAAGGGTAGCAGATAGGCCTGAATATCACACAATACTTTATTCTATTTGTCTTAACTTTAATTATGTCTTACACCAGGAGGTTTGTGCAGAGAATAATATTCTTCACACTATTGTATTTGGTTATAAGGTACACTCTATGACATGACTTCAGTCCAGAAAAATGTCCACTTGTTTTCATAACCCCCCCAAACGTTATAACATCCAGAAGAGAAGAGACCAACGGTAAATTCACCAAGTCTAATATTTTCCCTCAATTCCCTCTCTGTTTATTGAACTCTGACCTTGAGATAATAAAGAATATTTTTTAGGTTTAGTTTGATGATTTCTTCAAATTCATGTTATCTATCATTACTTAAAGTCATGAAAGAAACTCTTTAAATGTTACACTACTTAAATCAACATTGAAAGACCATTCTAATGCATTTTATTTCTCCAGGATTGTTAAGTGTATATTTTATTTCTCAAAGAACAGGGACCATGTCAACTTTTGAATCTTATAAACTATTAAGTTTCCTTTTGATGTATTGACAGCATTGGCCAGTGTGTTGTGCCTTCACTGTTAGAGAATTTATGTTTTTACTCTTTATGAGGTGATAATAATTCATCCTTGAAAAACTGTTATACTATCTTGAAGGAACTTTCACATTGGTTTTGTGGTATCACCTTTAAATTTAGTTCCTAATTTTGAACTTAACTAAATACGATAATGTTACCTGAGAGATGGCTATATATTAAATCATCTTGTTCTGGATTATTACCATCATCAACTCAAAAAAGAAAGATAGTGACAGGTAAGGCTTTGTCTATAAAGTAATAGAAAAAAAAAGCATTTATTTGTTAACCAAAATGTACCTTACACAAGTTGTGGTCAGCTGCAAAAACTGTATGTTTCCTAATGTTTTTGTAATGTAATGTAATGCCCTTGGGTGACTGCGCTGTGTTTAACAAGGAAAGCTGGTGTGTGTGCTGGAGACTTGGGTAAGCTTTATCAGGGATGCAGCAGGTGATCGCTGGGCATCCTGCCTTCATAGCATCAGGTGAAAAGGCTTATTAACCGGGTCCTGATATGCTCTGGCTGGCATGTGATGTAGTAATTGTAATAAATAGCCACATTTGGAAAAGTGGTATATAAAAATAAATTACAGGTAAAAATTAGGTATAATCTGTTGGTCAAACCATAGGAAAACCCTGCTGAGGGCCAGGAAATTGCAATTTAAAAAATTGCTAAGAGAGTTTTGAATTAAACAGCGTATTGCTGACATATGATCTTTCCAGAAATAACAAGTGTTTTTTCTGAGTACCACACATTTTAGAATGAAATGGAGTAGTAAATAAAATTATTCAGTTAAACTAACATATGAACAAAAGCAATATAATCACTGGAATGTGAATGAAAGATCTAAGTCTCAGGTTGCAACAAGAGGCTCTTGTCTTTCTGTTTTCTGCTTACGAAGCAGATGTGTGGTCTTAAAGGAATAAACTACGTTGACTCTCAGACTGTCTGAAATATTTTTTCTATCTACAGGCTTACACCATCTGAGAAACTTTAAAATGAGTATTAGTGAATGTATGAATAAATGATTATTTAATCCACCTGAAAACAACCAAGAATGGATTATAAATTATTTGAAGTCAGTAATTCTGATAATTCTAAATAAGGTCCAAAGGGTGTTCCATGCAGGCTTATGTTGGTAAGACTGTTGCTTTTCCATTCCTTTTCCACATTCACACTTGCTCCCGCTTTCTAATATATTCTTTTCCAGGATGAGGTTGTCTTCATTTCCGTAAAAGGGAGGTAAAAGTCATTTGATTCATGAATTCACCGATTCAGTTATTCATTCAACAAACACTTTGTGGTTCCTACCAGCTGAAATGTATCAGGGCCTGTTTTCACCATGTGAAGTCAGCGTCCGCCTGGACCCTTCCTGCTTTGCTAATGGAGCCCACCCGTGCATCCACTGTGTGTGCCAGCTCTTCCTGCCAATGGGATATGGTCACTTGAGGATTTTGTTTCTTCAGGCAAATAATGGGAAAAGCATAAAGACATAACTCCAGACCTTACTGAACTTTCAGTCTAATACAGAAAATGGTTATAGTAAAAAATACCGGATGCTGTTATTTCAGGGGTGTTAGCAGAAAGTGCCTGAAGGAGTGAACTGTGTTCAAGTCTGAAAGATGGATGAAAAGCATTAACTTGTTGGGGGAGGCAGTGTCGGGGGGTGGGATTTGGGGAGAGTATTCTAAGAAAAGGGGATACGTTAAAATAGGGATTAATAGTTATGTATATTGCTATTTCTTACCGTTTTAAAATTATTATTACCATTTTTTATTTTAAAATCATTACATATCAATATATAAGTAAATTATCATTGTAAAAGTTTCAAGAAAAATAAGTACTAGGATAGAAATATGGAAAATGTTCACTTACTTTACTCCCCAGTTTATAGATAAGACTTAAAAGTTTGGTATGTGTCATTTCATTTCTCTAGTTAATGTTCTATGTGAGCACATTCAAATACATATAAATACACACATATATGTATTTTAAATAAATGGGCTCATGTTATACACTTAGTCTGGTGATTTTTTTACCTGTGTATCTTGGAGCATTTTCCAAGAAAGTACATATAAGCCTTTAATACCTGCATAATTTCCCATTAGCTTTATTATTCTTCCACTAACACTTTCAGAGATGGTTATTTATATCAATTTCAAATTTTTCTATTATGAACAAAGTTGCAATGAACGTCCTTAAAAATAAACCTTTGCATTCTAATACGAGTATTTCTTTAAGGTGGAATTAGAAGCATTGTATCAAATACATGTACATTTTATTTTGATATGTACTGCCCATCAAATTCCCCTTGAGCAAATGTTTTACAAATGTGTCGTATTCCCAGCAGTTATACTACTGGCTAGTTTCTCACACCCTTACTGGCAGTAGACATTTTCCGATTTTACATTGTTGACAGATGATTCTATACATCTTGAGATATTTTCTTCCATTAGATAAATATAAGGGCTCAAATTCAAAGATCTTTCAGAATCAAGCAAATGTATTTTTGAATCAGACTAAAAAAAAGAATAGAGTGGTATGGAGCTTGGCAAATGGGAAAGGACATGCCTTGCTATATTAGATATTGAAATTTATACTTTTTTGAAAATACTCTGTTTACCAAATGAAGGAAAATTGTGTCTTGAGGACCATCTGTTAAAGATCTTGCTCTAAGGAAGAAACCACCAGGCAGAAGACAGTCAGGTGCAGGCTTCGCAATTCCCCCAGTAGCAGAGTCTGTCTCTTGCATGTATTGTCAAGGTCGGCCCTTGTCAGCTCATAGACTCAGAGAACCACATGTGAGGATCCTATTTTAAGGACTAAGGTGTGAGAGAATCACTGTTACCTTAGCATGGGGTGAGTTATTTCACACTCTGTGGAAAAGTCATTTATCACAGTCAGAGTCAGAATGATAAAAGGTAAAGCATTTGTAAGAAATTTGACTTTTTTTTTTTGCTGTTTTCACGTAAAATATGTGGTTTATTGCAGCATCCCAGCTTTTAAAAAGTACTTTACCTCTCCAGCGAAACCATGAATTTTAGGCTTTCACTCTATCTCCTACTACCTATCTGTTCCTTTCATATGAAATATTGCTAAAACTTGTATAACTGAAATGTTTTATCTAAAAAACATACTGTTTATTTTTTGTAGACATTTAACTTTATATATTTTCAGTGGCAAGTCTTTGTTGTATTAATTGGATTGTCATTAAACTGAATGATAAAGCAGGGTGTTTTGTTATTTAAAAAGAAAATCTCTCTCTCTAAATATACATATAAACACATTTTTTACAGTGGCAAAATTCCCCCTTTGTTCTTACAATATCCAGCAAGGCTATAAGTAGTGACATATCTGTTGGCCATGAGCTTGTTTTCTTTAAAGGTATTTCTGGCTTACACTGGAAGGCCAACTGTAATATTCGTGAAGTACTGGGTTCATGAGGCTTTGAAAACTGTCATAGTTTTAGTGGGCAAAGTAGAACAGTTACTTTTCCAAATCTAGCTTAGCTGTGTTTTAAAATATCTCCTTTGACTTCTCACTGTTTTAGTTTTCCCTGGGCCTGCAAACATGTGAATGTGAAAACAATTCTCGCGGAATGGATTTTATGACTGTAGCCAAAGGCAGCCTCTGACCGAGTGGTAAGGTAAGCCAACCTGGATGAAGACAGCCATCTGGAAAATCTGTATGAATGCCAGAATCAGAAATACCTAATTTGGACCCCAAATGTGACACTTTAATGATATGAATTCACTGGGTAACTACCATAACATGCAAAAACTTTTGTTCCCTAATAGGTTGTACTGGAAAAAACTACATTTCTCCTCCTGTGTGTCTCCCTTACTTTCACACAGAACTCTCCACTTTTGACACTTCTGGTTACCAGATGTGTGGGAGTTTTTCCCCACACCAAGCGATTCTCTGACACCAGCTGGGTGTTCTACAATTTAACTCAGTTCTCACCCTATCTACCTGGAGGTAGCATCAGATCCCAAGGGTTAAGGGCTCAGTCCCATGAGACTGCCTCCACTTTAGATGCCAGTCGTAAGTAGTAGGTCCCCAGTTTACCCACAACTTCCATCAGGCTTGCCTACAAATCAGAGGTTCCTATGACCTCTCCCCCCTTGGATTTAATTATTTGCTTGAGTGGCTTACAGAACTCAAAAAAACACTTATGTTTATCAGTTTCTTAAAGGATCTGATAAAGGAATCAGGTTAATACCCAGAAGAAGAGGTAGATACACAGGGCAAGGTCTGGGCAAACCCCTAGTCCAAGAGCCTCCATCCTTGTAGAGTTGGGGTATGTCACCCTCCCCGTCCATGGAGGTGTTCTCCAGTCTAGAAGGGCTCTGGGGGCTTTCTCATGTAGACATGATCAATTATTAAGTGCATTTACAGCCTTCTCACCTCTCTGGAGGATGGGAGGGTAGGGCTGCAAGTCCCCAGCTTCTAGTCATGGCTTTGTCTTCCTGGTCACCAGCCCTCAGCCAGGAGCCCAGCCAGAGTCACCTTATTAGAACAAAAGACACTCCTACTGCTCTTATGACTCAGAAAATTACAAGGCTTTTAGCACCTCTGTGCTAGGGAAGGGGTCAAAGACTAAATATTGGAATAAGAGATACTCTTACCACTTAGGAAATTACCGGGGTTTTAGGAGCTCTGTGCCAGGTATTGGGGAAGAGACCAACAGATATTTTCTATTATCTCACATAGGTAAAGGGGTGCCACTAACACCTACTCCATAGGTTGTGTGTGTTGCCACAGTGAGGGACATAAAATATAGAGCACTATGCCAGCTCTAGTCTCCCAGTGAATGTCATCCACTGAGAGAGGCATGTGTTAATTGTTTCCTTCATTCTACTGTCCTCACAGACCACTAGGGTTGGTTCAGTTGTTCTGACCCATTAGGCAGGTGCCTCTTTTCTCCCTGGACTTCTGATGATGCACGATGACTGGCTCAAAGAGATGGCCTGTCCCAGTATAGAAAACCTGTATCTATCAAAAGGGCAGAAGAGCTGCCACACCCCAACCCTGAGCTTTCACTATGAGGAAAAGTGTCTTTGGCACCTTCGTGCTGAGGTTCCTTACCTCACACCCCTTATCCAGCAGATGCTCTCTTCCTCCGCCTCAGAACCTGGGGCTCTAGATGAAATACCTTCATTTCCTATTACTTCATGTTTTTCAGTAAATTAGAAGAGTATTTTCAACCTTGCGCTCTCCTTCCTCTGCAAACCTCACTCCACATCTCTGAGCCCAGTTCCTGTCATTCTGCATCTTTCATTTTTCACAAATTCATCTTCAGTCTCCTCCCCCAATTCATTGTCTCACCATCTTGCTCCTCTTAACTGCACCTTCTAGATGGGTTTATTTCAGTTCTTTCCACCCAACAGTGAATGCTTACGTTACTCTCCCTGCTCAGGAAACTTACTGCCTCTCATCCTCTGCCTGGACCTAGAAATCTTTTTTCCTTTAATCCCTTTCCTGTTTTTCATGACTGTTCTTTTTAAAGGGTATCATTTTGGTTCAGGTTTTGATTTGCATGTGTGTGTATGCACGTGTGTGTGTGTGTGTGTGTGTGTGTGTGTCAGAGAGAGAGAGAGATTTTTTTACCCAACCCTTAAATTAATTCATTTGAAACACCAGTTCTGATAAATATTCTGTGTTTCGGGAGGCTATAGTGATGGTTTTGTAATAAATCAGTTGAAAAAAATTCCTGTTAATCTGACTATGTATATAGTAGTATGTTTTAAATCTTTTACACAGTATGACTATAATTTGATGCATTAAAGCTTGTGCTTAAATAAAAAGTAGAATGTCTGCCTCTATAATATTCAAAGCAAGATCCCCATAGACTGAATGTCTGTCAAATATATGAGGCTCATTATTTTATTAATTAGCTTGTGAATACAGTGTCAACATAATTTGATATTACATGAATGATGACACTCTTCCCATATGTACTGATACTTTGGATAACCCTATATGTTACCCAGAATTTCTGTAAGGCTCTTGTGATAATTCAAAGGTAGGTATCCCTTTCTCTAAATGTTTAGTTATTGTAAAATAACATTATCTTTGAGCATCAGTATGGTACATAATTGTGATATTGTGATTTATAATAAGAGATACATATGTGGTCTTTATCCGCAGTTCCTGGCTCACAGATCCCAAAATCATTGGAATTTCCTGAGGGATAAGAGCATTGGAAGCTTTTTTTTTTTTTTGTCATAATACTTGGTCTCTTGTCCTCTGTTCCTGAAATCAATTCAGAGCCTTAAAGGTGAAATGGGTGTCTTGTTATTCATAACAAGCACCTTTCTACCGTAACTGGGTTTATATTAAGGAAGTGACCTTTGGAAAGCACCTACTGATGAGGGCTGGTTGCCAAGGGAAACAAGCATGAATAGAGGGTTGGAACCCTCATTCCCACCCCCTGATTTCTGGAGAGGGGAGAGGGGCTGGAGGTTGATTCAATCACCAGTGGCTAAAGATTTAATCAACCATGCCTATGTAATAAAGCCCCTATAAAAATCCAAAAAGAGAGGGGGTGAACACACAGAGATCTGGGGAGAGCTGTACACTTAGAGGGCATGGAAACTCTGTGACCCTTTCCACACACCTGGTCCTATGCACGTCTTCCATCTGGCTGTTTCTGAATTATATCATTTTATAATAAACTGGTAATCTAGTAAGTAAAATGTTGATCCCAAGGAGGGGGTCACTGGAACCTCTGATCTATAGTTGATGGATCAGAAGCACAGGTGATGTCCAGAGCAGTCTTGTGGGACTGAGCCCTTAACCTGTGAGATCTGATGCTATCTCCAGGTAGATAGTGTCAGAATTGAGTTGAACTGTAGGACTCCCTACGGGTATCTGGAGAATTGCTTGGTGGTGTGGGGAAATAGCCCCCATCCCCAGTGGAATTGGGTGCAGAACTCTTAAGTTTACTATGTAAAAAGCACAATATTCTTAATAACTTAGGAGACATTGCCTTTATAATTAAACCTTGTTGATCTCTGTCTGGCTGATAAATAGACCATGTCAAGACCATCTGACTATCAATCCACCTGGTTCCCCACCTTTTAGCTGTCATTGCCTACAACCAACTCCTCTAGGATTTCTAAGAAGCATTTGCATTGCTAATGACAAGAAAGATAGAAAAAGCAGCTGAAATCTAAATACGTGCTCAGGTGTGTATTGAGATGGGCCGAAAATTTAACTGAAGTTGCTATTCATTGAAAAGTATGTAAAGGAAGTCAGCTATGACCAAAGAAAGTACCTTTTCATCTCTTTGTCTCTGTAGTAAATATGTTCAGATCTCTATCAGGAGGTACCTGCTCATTGTATGTTAGAAAACTCAATATTAGTCATCATCCAATAATGGATTCTATACCATTATATGATTCCAAATCCAGAAACCATAGGGAAACAGCAATTCAGGAGCTGGGCTGGCATTTCCATTACAGGAATAGTTTTGTTTTGTTTTTCCACTACCATGGATTTAGGACCTAAAATAAACCAACCAGAAGCTTGACTCTACACCATTTTGAAAAAAAGAATATGCCAGATAAATTTAAAAAGTTGAGATGATAGATTATTTAAAATATAAGATTATTTGTTCTCCACTGAATACATATTCTTGTTTCTTGATTAAACACATATATAATACTAAAGTTTTAAAGTTGTGTTGAAAAGAAATTTTTCTAAAATAATTTACTAATGCACCTTAATCTCTGAATCTCAAGCTAATATTCAGAAGCAATAATAAAAAATCCACAACGATTCATTCAGAATATAACACAAGTGGGGCCATATATTGACTAAATATTAGACTCCCTGGAGAGCTTTTAAAAAATATCTATTAATGAACTCTGCCACAAACCAATTTAAAAAAAAATTGTGTTTTAGATGCACACATTAGTGGTTGCTGCTGTTTCTGTTTTTTAAACTCCCCAGATGTTTAATGTGCAAGGGAGTTTGAAGAACACTAATGTATCCTGTTCAGCGTTAGTAATTTCCCACTGAACTACAGTTTACAGTGATTTTTGGTATGGCATTTGATAAATGTATTGATTTGGAATTGCTCCAAGTTTCATGCAACAGAAATGAAGCAAATGTCCTCGGCTAACAAGAACTCCAAAGGTCAAGGACTAAATTAGCCACTACCCAAGCTAATCAAATGCCATAGTTTCCTTTAACTTTTTTTTTTTTTTTCAAACAATAGACTGGGTTTTTCGTTCATCCCCTGCTGTTTTTTTTCAGGAAAGAATTAGAAGAATTACCAAGCAGGTAGAAGAGGTTGCATATGATAAAAAGTATTTTTTCCAGAGACTCCCAACTGACTTAGTGTCCAGAACTTCAGCCATGAAAGAAGCTGAGAAACTCTGAAAGGTACACTCTTTTTCTATTTTTATTAACACCAGTACTATTGCTACCTTGCATCCCCAAAGTATGCATACCATTTTGATATTCTTGGGTGGCTTAAAACATTCTTTTCCTACACCTCAAGAAGTAAGCAGTGTTCCTGTTGGAGAAACACGTCTCATCTAATAAATAAAACATAACACATATAAAATCTCTTTAGGGAACCATTTCCAGAAAAAGAATCATTTTCCATGAAAAGTATGATAGATAATGTACTTAATG